GCTGCCGGCGGATTGTCGGCCAAGAGGGGCGGGTGGTTAAGAGGGGCGGGGGCGTGGCGGCAAAGAATGTCAATTTCTGGCCATAATGTGCCTCAGACTTTTGCTTTTCTTTGGAGCTGTAAAACAAGACTGAGGCACTCACACTCACAAGCACATTCGGATGCTCAGCCACTCCGGCAGCTTTCCCTTCCTGTGCGAGAGTTGAATTCCGCTCCCAGTTGGGACACTGAGAGAAATTTGTTAGGAGTATCAACAGGGATAATTGGCTAACTATTAGTGCCCTACTGAAATCAAAGAGAAACCCATTCTTATTGTTATTATTGAAGATTTGATTTAAACTCTTTAAGGGCACCCTCTTATCTAAACAATCCAGTTAATAAAATCCAAAACAGCCATCATTAAGTTTTTTCTAGTGTTCGTCCACTTGTCTGTTGGCCAACTTTGACTAGGCCTTGGCCATTGGTTATTGGCCCTGGAGAAGAAATAGAAGCCGCTAACCTGAAAGTAAAAATAGGCATAAACAGCTCATTAGATGGCGTTTTAACGATACCCCTGCCATCCGTTGACAGCTTTTTCTTTCTGTCCACTTCGATTTGGGTAGAACCAGCTTCATATGCATATCGGACTTTCGCTAATTGAAAGCCGTCGAGTTCTCTCTGCAGTCAGTCACTCAATCGCTCAGTCATTCAGTCATTCCTTCACTGCACTGCGACACAATTAAGCCCAACCTCAAATGGAAAAAAAATATAAAAAAAAATAAACGGAATTGGAAAAAACTCTTCTTCGCGCACTTCGAGGTACAAATTTAGAAAACCTTTTGAGGGCACTTTCATTTACCATTTCTTGTTGCCGTTGATTTTGTTCGCTTGTATTGAAATTGCCTCGGTTGTCTTGGCTTTCGTTCGATGGATGGATGCGTTCGCTTCTTGAATGCGAAATGAGACTGAACGCGGACAAAGGCGCTTGCAAAGGCACTGGGAGAAAATGCTTGTTTACTTTCTATGTCCTAGCAGTCATAGAAGTTCATATTGTAAGACTATTTTCTAAAATTAAGTTGCCTAAGCTATGTTTCGAGTTTGAATACTTCAAATAGACGACATTGATTATAAGCAGAAACAATCCCAATCGAATGATTGGCTTTCTTAGAGGAAGTTGTTTAACATTTTCTGTTTCTGTGACTTTAAGGACTTTAAAGATTTCTCCCTGTGCAGGAACTTAACGGTCAAGAGGGTTCGAGTTGAGTTGCCTATTGTGCGCGGTACGTGAATGAATTCATAAAGAAATAAAAACGAAACCAAAAGGCAGCCAGCCAGCGGGCCAGCTAGCTAGCCACATGGCGGGGCAGCATGAAAAATTGAATGTAATGCGCAAATGAAATTCAACGGCGTCAAACGCAAATCCAAATACAAATCCCGGCGATGTCCCAATGGTTTTCATTTGGCCACAACGGCATGCATGTTGTATTGACTTTAAACAAAGCGAAATTAGAGGCACGCACTTTGCATTTAATCAGTACGCACAGCGGCAACACCAATTGGCACGCCAGCAGCAACATCGGTGGCAACAGCAGCAGCGGCGGCAGCAATATTAGCCAGTAACTATAAGCCGCTTTTGAAAATCGATTAGTCGAAAGGGAGGCAGGGAGGTGTTGTAGTTGGGTATTCCACCTCAATCATTCCCTCAATTTATTGACAGTTGGCGCGTGTGAAGAGCAGCCTCCCACCTTGCTCCCCCGCTTATTCGGCCACGCCCCTGAAAAAGTGCCAGCCTTGATTATTCCAAGCACACAGCAGCGCTTTCATGCATAATCTCACCTATAACAGTCATTACACCAATACCACAAATACTTACAGAAACTCAAACACACAGATACACTCACACGTGGAGTTTCAGTTAAGGAAAATGCCAAGGAAATTCGTGTTCGTGAAGAGCTCGAAAGAAAAGCGAAATCCGTTTGAGACAGCGACAAAACGTTGGTAATCAAATAATTTCATGCCTTTAATTGTCGACGGAGGTCGGTTAGTGAGGATAATTGGATTCCCTGAATGAGCGCCGGAACAATAATGAGCGTTAAATGAACAATGTACGTGGCTGGTGGTTGGGTGGAGTTGTGGGTGGGTCCACTGGGTGGGTATTATTGGGTTAATAAGGAGTTTCATGGACGATAAGCGGTTAAGGACCGCACCATGGCAATTAGTGATAAACCGATAAGAGTTGCAGGGAAAACGAATTAAAGCAAAAGCTGCGAAGAAGAGAAGTTGCTACATTTTCACAAACTTAATGGGATTAAATGGAGCTGAAATTATTCTTTAAGTGGAGTTTATGGTTTTAGTAATATTTGAATAATATTTAAAGTAGCTGGGGGATACCCATTACCTATGGTAATACCCTTTTACCTTTCCTAGTTTTAGCTTTATTCCACTTAAAAATATGTCCCAGAATAAGCCAACCTCTCGACGTGCTTAATTAATCGGTGAATGTAGCGCCAAAGCGGCTAGCGGAAAATCTCAATTAGAACTGCCAATCGCTGGCTACGATTTTCAGCGGGAGGCATTCTTGGGGAAAAACTAAACAGCAACCAAAATTAATAAGCCGGAAAAACTTTTTGGGCACCCCCCATCAAGCCACAAACTAACTAAAGCCTAGGAAGTTCTGGGCCAGAAATTAATTAGTCAAATGGAGCAGGAAAATACCCCTAAAATATTTAGAAGGAGAAGGATTTTGGATTGGCCTGTAATGAGAGGGGAAGGGAGAAGGAGCAGGGGTACATAGCAAGTGTTGATGTGATTGTTTACCCCTTTCCACTTTGTTTTGGCCACCTGGCTTGACCCCAAATGTCAAAGTGTATTAAGCCATTAAAATGTAAAATTATATGCTTTTTGAACTTGCCTTCGGCTTGACTTCCCCCTCGGAAATAGTTAAAGTTTGGCCAACGAAGAGTGTTGTTTGTTGCCTTGAAATGAAAGTTTTCTGGGCATTGTGTTCACCAAGCTGAGCTTTGTTTTTTTTTCCAGATTGTTTTCCTATTTTTTATACTTTTTTTCTATATGTTTTTTTTTTTTTGGCACATTACATAAAATTTCGTAACATTCTGCGGCAAGTCTGGTGCTGAGGAGACTCGGTTTCGGTTTCTGTCTTTCGGCAGTCGGGCTAAGTTGGAAGTTTAAGAAAACTCCACTGACCTGTTAACAGAGAGAGACTTTACTATGCCATACAGCCAGTTAACTTGGCTCGCAGCGGCTTCAGTTGGCCAAGAAGAAAGTTATAGACAGCTACACTACAGTAAAAACAACTTTTGCCCAAGAAGAAGAAACGGCAGAGGCAGAGGCAGAGGCAGTGGCAGTGGCAGTGGCAATGGCAGTAGTGTTGGCCATAAACGAGTAGAACACGTTTTACTGTTGGACTTCAACGTCGTCGCTGTCTTTGCCTGACGTCGCCGCCTCAGTTGGCGTCGCAGCTGCAGTTGACTGCTCTGCGGCGACATCAACAATTTTCCCGAGTATGTGGGAAAGCTTTGACTTTGAGTGCCAGTGCAGTGACTGTCAATTTTCCTCGTCCCGGACACTGAAAATGAAACGTCAGTCAGGGCGAATCGAATTAATTACACCTCAATTTATCATCGGATGTATTTCTATCAAACGTATTTACTTATTTTCCTTTTTTTTTTTTTGGTTCCCCACCTGCTGCCCACATTGCGATTTCACTTTGAAATGGGCTGGTTCGATGGTCAGAAGCAGAAATTAGCACTTGGGGAACACTCGGTTGGCCATGTATGCATAATACTCTTTTTCGATCGAGGACGGGAGAATGCGGAATGGGGTTAGGGTGCGGAACGATGACTGAATAAATCAATATTAATATAGCACTCCGGCGATTCGCAACTCCAGGTGGCAAAAAATATTTATGAATATAAGCTAAATCGAGGAGGGGGCTATGAGGAAGTCATTGGAATTTTATTTGATCAGAAAAAAAAAGAAAAACATTTAAAGAATGTCATGAAAAGGAATTATGGTAATCGAAATTAAATCTTATAGAAATGTCATCAGAAGAAATGGCAATAAATCAAAGCCATTACTTTTTTAAAAAGAAAACAACACTCTATTAAATCTCTATTTAATATTTAAATATTGATTAATTAGTTGTCTTCATTCAGTCTATTTAAGCTATGATATCAGAGGCCTTTAATTATTTAAATTTATTAACTAAACTTAAAAGAGTTTTACCACAAAATCAGGTTGAAAACTTCATTCTCCATTTCATCCCACATCGACCCATTTTACGGCCAGGCTTTCTCATTTAAGTAATTGAAAATTTGAGTTTTATGATTCGTGCAGTAATTCTAAATGGATTTTATAGCCCTGGCCGTGTGTTCCATTTAAGTTTTTATTTATTTTAGAGCTGCAATAAAACAACTGCCCAGCCATCAACGAGACTCGCCCGCCTGGGCTGGGATTCTTAGATCATAGCTCACGAGTGTCAGTCGGCTGACAAGCCGCTAACTGTTATAGCTGGCCGTTTAGTGTGCCAAATACTTTCCCAGGCCAGCTCGCAGCTCGCAGCTCGTCAAATTAATTGAAGAATCGAGCCAAGAGAGCCAGCAGAGCCGCAGAAAGCAGCCAAATGTAAATTCACGCTTCGGGCCCGAGCTTCGGCTTTTTAACCAGAGCCAAGTTGGGTAGTTGGTAAGTTGGTAAGACGAGCTATATGCCAGCGATCAGTTGCAGACGGTCAGTCGAGCGAGACAGTTGTGTGCGCGGCGGTGTTGGAAAACCGAAAGAACTCCAATTCGAATCTCTGAAGAGCCAACCAAGCTCAGGCCAGAATCCACAATCGACTCGACTCGAATCGAATCGAAACGAATCGAATCGCTACAGAAAAACCAAAAAACAAAACAGGTAAAGAGAGGCGGTAAAAAAGAAAGTCACTTGTCCAAGAATCGGACAGAAAGAAGGGGGGCCTCGAAGACTCAAGACTGGAAACTAAAAACCATCCAAGAAGCAGTTTGCCAGCGACAGTCTTTCACGGCAACTCGAGGTGATCGCAGCGCTACGAAACGGTCTAAAAAACAACTCAATACTATCGGTTATAATCGGTTCTGTGCCAAGATCAGTGATTAAAACTTAGTCAAGGTTAGCCTTTGGATTACAAATACCAGAAACATTGTGTGAAAGCCAAGAGGATTATCCGTAACTCTGAAATATTTTGTGTACTTTGCTGAATATTTGAATACGGATTTGCCATAGAAAGGACTTCTTTCAGTTTTCATTGGGCCACAAAAATGGATACACAAATAATTTGAAATACTGAGGATTAAAAACAATATTTTAATAAATAATCCTGCAGGTTTTTCTACTATAATTTTTTATAAATGTTTAACATTCTTTAGGTAGTTTTCAAAGTGGATAACCTATGCAGTAGGCGTTGTGAATTTTATCAGTTAATATATCTCAGCTATATAGCAGCCTTAGCTACCATAACGCAGTTTTACTAATTGATAACTTAAATATTGATTAAAAACTTGTGAAGTCTAAAATCTCACCTAGAAAAAACTCGATCAAGAGCACTTAGAAGAGGCTAAGCGATTGTTAATAAATTCTGCTAATATTTACAGTCGAAACGAAAACTGTGAGAAAGCTGCAAGGACTATCATCGATTTTGCTGTGTGAAAATATGAGTATCCTTAAAGTCAAGTTTGCAAGTTAGCATTGGACTGAAAAAGAACGTGAAAGTAGAGCGGCGATTTCGATCTGTTCCATTTAACCTTCTTCCACTCTTGTAGTATTCTATTTATTTTTTTTTTGTACTGGGAAATGTGAACGTTTGCATGCCCAGTTTTTAGTTTTTCCTCCTGCCAGTTTTCCCCAACCTCCTCTGATTTGCCCCGAAAATGAAAGGGGGCCATAAAGCTCAGCTCGACGCGATGCAGCCTTGGAATGGGCCAAAAACGTCTTGGGCAAGAACTTTTAATTGATTTTCAACTGCGGAAGGCAACTTGGGCCCGGAGTCGGACTCTTAACTGGCCGGGTCATAAATTGTATCTGCGGCAATTTAGAACCAAGTACAATACACTACAACACGATTCTCCCCTTTCCGCCCCTTCTCTATCCACTCCAATGGCAATTTCTCTGGTTTTTATGCGCTCTATTTTCACATGTGCTGGCGATGTTGTTTGGGGGTTCTGCGGTCAGCAGACCAAGCCAAGCTAAAACCAAACCAAACCATACCAAACTATATGGAACCGATGCGAACCAAGTTGAGTAATCATCTCTGTTGGCTCTCAGGTTTCTTCTTCTGCTGCCCAAGCTGACCCACATACGAACTACTACTTGAAGCAGTTAATTTAAGTGTTTCCTGGCCAGCAGCAGCATCAGCAGCAGCTTCAGCATCTCAACCTCAACCAGTTCCAGCCAAGTTATAGTTTACACTGTTTACATTGGCCAGCACTTTGCTGCCAAAACAAAACACACTCGTCGCTAGCTAACGGGGCGGATGAATTGGTGTGTACTTTCAGCAAGGACAAGCTATTAACAGAGCAAAGTCTGCTTGGCAATTCGAGTGGCTCCAATTCATTTTCCACTTTTTCGCACATTTCCCGCCAATGTACTATAGTTGCTTTTTCGTTCTTCTTCTTTTTTACTAAGTAGTTAGTTCATGACCAAGTTTATGCAGCTTGTCAGTCAGAAGATTTTTTCGAGGTTGAGGATTCCCCTGTCCGGCCCCGACTGCCAGCTTGTTCCGCCAGGTGGCGTCGCCGTGACGATAACAAAGTCCTAATTCAAGTGACGTGCGAGTGCATGCGAAAAAGAAAGGCTGAGAGAGACAAACAAAATGTAGAAAAACAAAAAAAAGTTAACGATAGCAAGCAGTTTTGCGTAGACTTGAACACTCAGGAAAATTTAAGAGATTTTCAGTGGAAAATTCGAGTTTTTAGCTTGGTTTTCTATCAAATAGGAACACTTTTAGGGTTCTTTGGGAATTCTTAAGCACTTTTTTTCAAACTTCATAATATTTAATATCACATCTTTGACTAAATTTACATAGCTTAGATATTTTCAAACTCACCTTTTAAATGAATTCCTTGGAATTCAGCTTGGAGTCGTTAAAGGAAGTGTTTCTTCCTTACAGAGCATTCCTTTCTTTTTCTGTGATTTAAGGACCACCCAAAAAACTCCTTGCAACTGCAGCATCTGCACCCCTCCTCCCACCCGCCAAAAAAAACGCTTACTGTAAATTTAGAGGGGGCGTGGCCATTGAAGCGGCACGTGTAAAGCTTATTTTTCTGCACCACCTCGTGTGGGCCATTGTCTTGGAAAATTAACTGCAACGCAGCTGCGAAGACAAGGCTCCGCAAACGTATGAGACAAACTCGAACAAAGAAGGATCCCAGGCTGTGGGAAATCAGGTGCACGAAGGGGTTCATGGCACTAGGGTTAGGGTATGCAAATCCTGTCTGCACGTGGCCTTTTGTGCGGCCTGCATATTTATTGATATGACGCTGATATGACAATGCGGATAGAGGCAAGGAGCAGGGATCCAACGAAGCCAAAGGGGCCAAGGAACCCCAACGTCAAGTGGCATCTGCCACGCCTCAGGCAACCGCCTTCAATAGTTACCCCGTCCTGCTCCCCCGCAACTCCTCCCTTTCTATCTCTCCCCTGAGTGGGGCTTAAGTAATTTTTGCTGGCTATGTGACGTGCAAGTGCACAGCAAACACTACCAAAGGGCACTGAAAGAAATTTTATAAAAATTTGATCTGTATTCGTTTGTTTTTAAAGAAGTTCGAACTTTAAGTGCTGATTCTGTAAAGTAGGAAAATCTTTTGAGAGAAGTTTAGTTTTCATTTCTAATCAAGAAGTTAGAATTATTTGTCAATTAGTCAGAAGTATGGATCATTTTTAGATTCCCTAACCAACAAACACTTAATTTGTAATTATTACTTTAATTTTGTAGTCTAAACATTCTCTTCTTCCCGTGTACCCCCACCCGGTATCTTTTCCATCAGCATCACGCACATGAATATTAATGTAGAATGCACACACGGTTAGCTGCGTTTTTCTATGGGGGCATTAAAATATTGTATAGTGGGAGCAGCGTTCCATATGAGTTAGTTCCTACAATAGACAACACCAGAACGTAGAAGAAGACGAAGAATCTGATGAAGGAGAAGCAGAAGCAGAAGAGAGGGTTAGAGCCAAGTGGTTGCCAAAGCTAAGAACTGCAAAAACTTGTCCCTTTCCCTCTCTTTTTGTCCCACGCTTGTCAGAAGTTTTGCATTGCATTGTTGCCCTGCCCTTCAGCCTTCAACCCTTCTTAAGTCCCTCCTATCTTCCCCCCTAAAAACCTTATAGAAACCCATAGAACCCCCCTCGCTAGCTTCTTGTTCTTGCCTTTTTTGCGGCATGACGCGTGAAATGTTCCGAGTTCGGTGAGAAAAATGGTAGATAAAAGCGCTTTGCGGCGTAAGGGACGAAACGGTGCGAAAAGTAAATGCAATTTCCCCAAGACTTCAATAGGCAGGAGTTTATAAGTACTTCCAAACAGAAGGCCCTTGGGAAAGCTAAAGAAGAGCGGGGCTTACAGTGGAAAAACTGCTAAGGCAACAGTAAGGAGTGATTTCAGTTTGAATTTCGATTTATTTTTAATAGATTTCATTACAAAAAGTTTAGAACTTGTCGGTCTTCAATAAACAATCAGCAAGATGTACTTTTTTGGTTTCCTTGTACTTAAGAAAATCAAAACTCCTTAATTAATCTTCATTAAATCTCCTACTTTGGTAAACAAATCATTTTACCAGACTCATATTCCCCTCGTAACCAAGACCCACTGTTCTTGCGACTTGGTTGCGAGGGCCAGGTGATATGTCATCATATTTTGCCCGGCTTTCCCTCCATCGCAAGCCCCCTCGACGGCTCAGAAGGCATTTGCCTAGAGCATCGGTATTTAATAAACACCGTTCAGGAGCTTCGCTCGGTAAAACTTTTAATTAAGCGACGGCAACTGCTGATGTTGCTGCCGTGAAGCTGATGCTGCTGCCGGCTGTCTTCCACTTCAGAAACTTGAGACAGTGGAACGCCATAAAACAGCGACTTGGCGGCTTATCAAAAAACCGAGCCCTAAAATCCGAAACTTAAACCCACTCAAATCTCAGCCGCTGCAATGTTGCTGCTGTCGCTTACGGTCGCTATTGCTGTTGCTGTTGCTGTTGCAGTTGGCTAGTAGGTCACTGGGTTTTCACTTTGGTTTATGGCCACTTTGCCGTTTGCTTATCAGCGCTGGACTTGATTTCCAGAAAGCGTTTTACTCATTTTTCAATAAGCGGCAGCAACAACAACAGTTGCTGTTACAAATTGCTGCGAACAAGTTTTTTTGGGAAAACGTTGCGTCGCCGTCGACGTCGACGTCCGCTTTCACTAAGCCCGCAGCAGTCGCACTTGACAGTGCGACAATAACAGCAGCAACATCTACAGCAGCGGCAGCGGCAGCGACAGCAGCAATAGCAACATCTGCGGCAGCAACAACAACGGCAACAATTGCTGCGGTTGTTTGCTATTGCCGTTGGCTGTTGGTCGTGCTGATTGTCATGACTAAAAAGCCACCAGGAATGGCAACAACAGCAGCAACATCCCAACAATGACAGCAATGCCAGGACATCAAACCGAACTTGCAAATACCCTTTTGTTGCCGGACATCCTCTGTGGACTTTGGTAACTGTTTTTGCTTGACTCGAAGCGAGTTCAGGGATAGTGAGACCCGATTATATCTCCCAGCCTTCAACTGCCATTGTGGCGCCTGAAGCTGTCCAAAAAGGTATTGTTGTTGCTCAGGTGGCTAGTACTACTGCTGCTGCTGCAACTGTTGCTGTTGCTGCTGTGTGTCAAGTGCCAGCAACTGGACATGTGAACACCGCCGGCGGCAACTTTGAGGCGTAGCTCAAAAACATGTTTACACTCGCACTCTCACACGGGCGCCGCTCCTTTGTCTGCTTTCTTTAGTGGCTGGCTTATTGACCGAGCGGCCACTCCGCCGCTGACCGATGTTTGCCAACTAAATGTGTAATTTCTCAGTCATGAAAAAGAAAGTGACTGCACAGAGAAAAAAGGGGGGAGGTAAATGAAGTTAAAGCTAAGAAATATTTCGAAATTTATGAGCATTAGGTTGGTCAAGGGGCCTTGAAATCTACCGATCTCCGACTTATCTCAATTTCCCAACTTATATTTCCAGATCTACAACATGAAGTTCGTTATTTTGCTATGCGTGCTGAGCGCGTTGCTGCTGCAAATTGAGGCATCACCTCTTCAGCGACTTTCCAGGAGCGAGCGGGCTGTTTCACGTCAGCAGGCGGTCAACAACGAAGTAGCTCCAGCGGTTGCCCCTGCCAGCGATGACGATGAGGATGATGACGATGAGGACGATGATGATGAGCCCGATCTAGGAGATTTGATCGATGACGATGACGGTAGGTTCAGAGATAGCAACCAATTCTAGATCACAGAAATGCACCCAGGCAGCACCACCACCAGCACAGCACCACTGTATGAAGAGTTCGAACCACCGAACTGATCCACTGACCCACTGATCCACTGATCGACTGATCATTGCAATAAGCACAAAGCCAAAAACGATATTTATCCTGCTTTTATTAACCAACATTTTTTGTGACTCTCCTCTGTGGTTCCCTTCTCCTTGGGTAACAAAGTTCTTTTGATTTCGGGACTTTCAGATGATGATGAAGAGGAGGACGATGATGAGGACGAGGAGGATGACACGCCCCAGGGCCAGGCTGCCCCAGCGGCCACTGCCAGCGATGATGACGAGGAGGAAGACGATGATGATGACGATTATCTGGACAGGCTGTTCGATGACATCTTGGGAGGTAAGAATCCTTATTATTTGTGATAACTAGTTTAAGGATACAAAGACCATAACTATCTTGATCTTAACTATTATTTTTATCCCAGATGATGATGATGAGGACGACGATGACGAGGCTGCGCCCGCCGCCAGTGTCCAGCAGAGCTCTGTGGCCGCTGCCCCTGCCCAAACTTTGGATGAGGTCGCCCCCGCTGCTGCTTCTTCCGTGAGCTCTGGTATCTCCGATGGCGTTGATCTGCCCGCTGAATCTGGAAACGCTGCAGAAGCTGTGGCCGCCGGAAATTCCGCCGATGAATCCGTGTCCGCTGCCGTTGCCCCGGCGCAGGCTGCTGCCGCCAGCAACAACAACGAAGGTGAACAAAATGTTTTTTACGATGAAGACGCACTTGTAGATGGTATTAGTGGTGGCACAAATAGTTTAAGTAGCACCCTTGCAATTGACGAACAACAGAAACAAACAAACATACGGCTGCAACAGCAGCAGCAACATGAACAGCCACAACAACAACAACAACAGAAACTGCCATTGCAACAACAGCAACAGCAATCACTGGCCTCATCTCAGCATGCGACATCAACAAGCACAGTCAACAAGAACACTCTAACCAATAACCACATCATTAACAATAAGCTGGTGACCAGTGGGACGACCTTGGGGCAACCGGCAACACTTGTTGCTGCCGGTGTTGTTGCTCCGGGGAATGTTGCTGCTGGCACCGTTGACACGGACAACGCTGACGATGACGAATATGATGAGGACGACGAGGACGATGATGATGATGATATTGATGATGGAGTCGATGAAATTGGTGAAATTGCAGGTATCGCCGGTGACGACGACGAGGAGGCCGACGATGATGATGACGATGACGACGATGACATTATCGGCGATGACATCATCGAGGCCCGCCGCGAAGCACGTGAGTCCAAATCGAAGTCGGAAACGGCGACGAAAGAAACCAAGGCCAAGAAATCAACAAGTCCCTCCAAGAAGGCCAAAAAAGAGCTGAAGCATTAACCAAACAGATTGCTAAATCAAAAACAAAAACAACAATAACAGCAACAACCAGAACAACAACAACAACTAAAGACAGGGACCCACAATTACAGCAAACGAAGAATGACATGCCCCCAAAAAACAAAAACAAACGATAAGAAAGGAAAGCGAATTTTCGGAAAATATTTTCCCAAAGGGGCAGGACGCGATCCGGACTTTTGCAATTGCATCTTTGCCTGCACTGACTATCCTCCCCCACCCCTCGCTATCCTATAATTTATTAAATACAAAAAAAAAACAACAACTGAGTTAAGTACATATGTTTACGCATTTCCCGATGAAAAGGGAAATGTATTTATCGAGAGTTTGGTGCTAGTCAAACTATCTGCAAAACAACAAGAACAGCACAATTACCCCCCAATATCCCCCCACTGTACCCCCCCAAATCCAACGCACAATTGTTGAGTTATTTACGCACGGACTGTTTCACCTGACAAAAGAATTGCAACAGCAACTGTACGCACAACAGCAACGCAAGTTGCAACTGCAACAGCAACATGTTTAATGCCCAAGCACAAAAATGGTTGAATTCAAAGAGAACACAGAGCAGAAGATGAAGATGAAGATGAAGATAAAGAAGAAGAAGAAGAAGGCGCAGAAGAATTGAAGGCGGAAGAATGAGAAGAAGCAGAGCAAGAGAAGAATTGTTAAGAGATATCACAGCGAATGAGAAGAATAGAAAGAAATCGCTGATATCGCTGAAAGAAAGACTTCCCTTGCTCGCTCTCTCCCACTCCATCACATCCACATATCTATCTCTCTCTCTATCTCTCATACACACACACACACACACCCCGCATACACTTATAGCTAAATTGATGTAACAACAACCAACAACAGCAATAAGAATGTTCACTTAGTGTAATCTATTTATTCCTAGTTGTAATCTCTTTTTCGTACTTATTTGTGTAATTAAACAAAAACAATCTGATTCGGAATTAGTTATCATGATGTAATCAACTGCCTATCTCACACGCTCTGTCTCTTTCTGTCTATCTATGTCTGTCTCTTTTTCACGCACAAACACATACACACACGCAAACACGCATTTAAGCACTATTGCTATCTCTTGCTTTCACACATTTGGCTTACAATTGAACATTTTTAGATGCAACAAAACAACGATGTAAATTTTGTATCTTTGGCTTTTCCTCTCTCTTTTTTCGGCTCGCATAATTTTCCGAACGTAAATAACGCAAATTTTGTATAAAAAAAAAAAAGAAATCAAACTAAAAATATCAACCACAAATTGTAGCTAAAAGTTGAACGCTTGAAAGGCAGCGCAAAATTTCACAAGACATCAAAAAAAAACAAAATAGAGAATTGTTAAACTTTGCGTTTTAGGTCATTTAATTTATAATTTATTATTTATTTATTTATTTATTTATTATTTATTGTAAAAAACAAACCATAAGCAAGATGATGAAGAACAAACCACAAAACATAATGAAAATTTGCTTAAATAAATTTGCGAAATGAAATTCCCTGTGCAACTTTTAATGGTATTGGAAAACTGAGGAATTGGAATCTCTCGTAGCATACTTTCAAGCGTCACCTTAGGCAAGGTACTGGTGTCTCTGTCTGTCTGTCCTCTACCCTTCTCTGTCGCTCCTCCTACACACTTACACACACACACAAACATCTACACATACTCATCATTAGCAGCTTCCGTCATTACAGTAATGCTCGGTGCTATCTCAGCCAAAACCCTCATATCATCCATTTCACCCCTCTGAAGCTGTAATTAGTTAGGATCCTGGTCCTTAGCCATTGTAATTGTGCATTTCTTACCCCCAAGACCTAAATACACCCTCCCATCCCCTACCAACGCCCTCACGATTATCTATTTTAGAATATGCCGCTTTAAATTTAAAATACCCGCTTCAATTAACAGCCAGGGAAAAGGGCAACTGCTAAAAGTGAACCCTATTCTGGGCGTGGGCGAGTACTTAACGGACTCACTGTGGCTGGGGCGAGGTTTAACATGCAAAAAGTACATTAGTACCTCATCACGTTCAACGGAGGTCGAGTGTGAGATTATATCCGCTTGCGGGTTAGGATATCCACCATCCCCGAAAGGGGAGCAGCCCCGGTGATGGGTCACAGCGATAAGGAGGAGACAAGGATTAGGACCTGGGGTTCCTGACTAACTGGGGAAGTCCTGCGAATCGCTGGACACACTCTCGCCGAGGATGACAGTTTAGGAAATAAATTTATGGGGTTAACTGACCGCTAAGTTGGGATTTTGAAATTCTGTTGGAACTTCCTGAAAGTTTTCCACTGGAAAATACCTTTAAACTAATTAGTTAGCTGCAGATTTAGGCAAAATTAGATAAGACTATCGCATTATTGGGAAAAATTCCATAAATTTAAAAAGGAAATAAACATTTAATAATATTTATTATACTTTTTGTCCTAAAAAGATAAATTTTAAACATAAATAGTACCCATTGATCCTATCACTTCCAGCTAACACCATTTAACTCATGATTAGTTAACCCATTAAATCGAATTTCACACTTAGATACTTCATAATTATTTCGCAATAACAAAAATACTCAACAAATCACTCAATTATCAAATGATTTAGCACGCTGTTAATTAACATTAAAGTTGCAATGATTTATGATAGGGAAACTGCTATAAATTGCTCGGTTCCAGCATGGTTATTGGATTTTTATTTATATTTACACGAATGTGAACTTAACTGCACGTTTAGGCATGGGCCATAATGTTAGTGTTCTTTTTTTTACATTATTTGCTAGCCCCAACCACTAACTCACACACACGCCGCATATAATCACAGGGGTCTTAGTGTGTTAGTGTGTATCTGTGGTCAGCACACATACTTCTACACTTGTATGTAATTAGAGGTTGAAAACAAAGCGAATGCCTATGGAAAATCACACCCACACACACTCTCCCTCACGAAAATGAAACCACAATGTCCGCCCACTCCCTCTTTCTACCTCGATTTGAACTTTCATTGTGTTCAGCTGAACCAAACTAATGTGAACATTTCTCCGCCCTCGCCGCCCTTTCCCTGCGCCCTTCCTGCGGTGACCTTCGACCCTTCCGCCCACAGGTGACCTGAAGAACAACGTCATCGATATGTCCACGGATGCTTTCCAGGCCCGACACAATCACTTCATCGACGCCATCTTCTCGAGAATCAATCGCATCGTCTCCGATAACTATGATCCCTATGTGGTCAACCTAACGGGACGCTGGGCTTCGCCAAATGCCGCCAGTGGGTCAACGGTCAAGGCCGCCAACAAGAAGCAGACCACCACCAGCAAGGTCGGAGGGCACAAGAAACTGTAAGTGACTGCGGCTCTCAAGAGTATAATTCGCTGCCATTCATCTAATTTTATATTACTCGCCTTAACGGCTCAGATTTTCGCTAATGCGGTGATATTAAGTTAAATTAGGTTTCATTAGGTTAATTTAAAGTTGTTGAATGAGTTCTTCATCTTAGTTAGAAATGTAGAAAATTGTAGTTATAAAAAAGTAATACAAAAGCTTTCCTTCAGAAGAATTGCCACTAGAAATTCGCTGTCAAATTGTCATAACTCAAGCTTTTCATTATTTTGGGGAAAATCCTTAGGCCAGTCCTTGTAAAGTTTAAAGGCCCTGTCAAAGGTTCAATTAAGCCAGCTCCTATTTACGAACTCAAATTTGGTCCTTTTGCAGGAAGAACACGCGCTCAGAGCCTCGTTCCGTCAATTCGAACCATGAGGCCAGGGAGGCTGCGGTGAAGCTGCAGGAGCAATTGACGCAATTACAGTCCGAGTTGGCCATCAAAGCCGTTGAGAAGAGGCCCTCTGACCCAGCATCCCCTGCATCTCATCCTGATTCAGATTCCGAGTCACCGAAGGCGGAAACGCGCACTGTTTCGGGCCCAAAAACGAGTCAAAAGAAGTCCTCAAACAAGCAAAACACGAAAAAGGCGTCTGGCCTGAAATCAGGAAACTACAATCAGCCTGCGGGGGCCAGTAAGGCAGGAGCAACGCCGAGTGGAGCCGTGGAGAAGCTGCAGAAGGCCGAGGGCAGGCTCTCGGGATTGGCATCCTTGAAGCGAGTGGGTAATGTCAAGGTGATCAGCGATGCCGAGGGCCGTAACTCCACGATCAAGGCCAAGTTCACACTGGGTCCTTTGGTCCTGCGAGTGGAGAAGTCCTTCAAGAAGGGCAGTGTGCGAAGTGTGAAGAGTGCGACGGCCAGGACGAATGAGATGATTGGACGCATCAAGTTCAGCGTTCTGGACGATCGGGCCACCCTAATGTCCATCAAGGTGCAGCAGCCCAAGCAGGTGAGAATAAAAGCCTAGAATCTCTGCCTCTTTTTCCTTCGATTTCTTTGACCAATCAACCTTTGACACAGGTGGAGGTGGAGAGCAAGGACAATCACGACCGCACACGCGAATTTGTGTGGCGACGCACGCCCAAAATCGCCAAATTGGTCAACGAGAAGCTCAAATTGGCAGCCGAGTCCTTGTTTGCCCCTCAGGGCGTCGAGGTTGTCAGGCTCTGAACGGAGAAAAAACTGAAGGGTCCTCGAGGATATAAAAGCCATTTCTCACTGCTCTGCTCAGCTGTAGTCTACGCCTAATTGTAATGTCTAATTTATTTATTTATTTAACTTATTTACCCTTCTATTTATCAACCCCATCTATCGATAATAAATCAACTCTGTCTATGCAATGGCGTTTGGTTAATTTGTATGGAAAATGCCGAAAATCGTTATCATTACCTATTTAGATATGCATTAAAATGATGTTTATCTAAGGATCCAATTCAATTAAAGGTAAATTACCACTTGTCCATAACTGATTTATATCAGAGAATATAGGTTAATATTGCCAAATAACTTTTATACATTTTAATGTGGAAAATAAATCATTTTGGCTTTGTGTCTGGCCAAAAATATGGATTTCAATAAAGCCAAATGGAGATAAACGGCTTAAAGTTAATTTATAAATCTGCCTGAAAAATGGGGGAAAATCTATCAAATTGAATTAGATTTTTATCGTGCCAAAATCTACGCTGGCTACCTGGCCAAAACGCTCAACAAACTGTGTCAGCTTCAAATTTTTTGATAAATCATTGGCCGGCACATTTATCTCAATTTAGTTTCGAACTGCAACAGTTTTTGTTTATTTTCTTTGTGGCATTTCATTTTATCCACTAGAATTGCAAGTATTTAGTTTGAAAGCATCTCAAATATGTTATTTGTTATTTTCTTAACATTGCAACATTGTCTGCAATCTTTATTCGGTCCAAAGTCATTTTCTTAAATTGCAAACCTTTGCCAAACCATTAAGCCCAGTTTAGTTGGCAATTATCCTAGATCACCTGGAGGAAAATCAGGCACTGAAAATGGCTAAAAATATTGTCCAATTCTGGTAGAGCAGTCCTCGGCTCTCTGGCTCTGTAAATATAGGTGCAGCCTTGGTCCTGTGTCCTTCTCCGCCCACTTTACAGCACCCTTTCACCCCGTCTATACTCCTTGCCATCTCCTCCATACCCACACGTATCTGTGTCAGGTCGCTTGCAGTTTTCATTAATGTTGCAACTGGGCGAGGAGTTCGCCAAAGTCCAGGTGCAAGAGAGAGAGAGGGGTGATTGGAAAGAGATGGAGACAGAGACAGTGAGCCTGGAACAGGATCCTCCGAACAAAGTAAATATGAGTGCGTTGTATATTGTGTTGCAACCTTAGGCGGAAGGACATGCAATTTGTTGTTGTTTGCCTTTGTTGTTACGCCAGCTATCGCTCTCCCCCCGCCAACATCCTGTATCCCGTATGATACTTTCTCCCTTAACCCTCTACCTCTCCCTCGTCTCCCTCCCTTGTCTCTCTATCATCATGAATGCTGTTTGTTTTGTCTTGTCCTTGTCTGCCGGCAGATGAAAAGGGACAGAATGCATTGCTGCTCTTTGTTGCACCTAAATTGACAACAATATCGTTTCATTTGCTCACTGAAGTGAACTCATCAGTGCCCAAGTCCTGCAGCCTGCTGCCCACGACCTCCGCCCATACTCCTAATGCAGAGAGAGAAATTTTTTAGTAATATTATAAGTTTAAGTTTTCATGAATTTGTATCACATTTTGTTTACCAATTTGGCAAGATATTAATATTGATATATCCATAAGTTATCAATAGTATTTTTAAGAATAAAATTGACTTTAAATATTAACCATTTTCTCGCAGTGCAGCCCGCACATACCCACACATTGCCACATAATTTTTTGCCAGCTGCTGCCGCTTGATTATATTGGCTCTCAGCGTGGAGGAGGACAATGTGTTTCGACTTGAAGTTTTAGTGGATCTCCCCTTTCCTGATTGCTGATGCATGGTTACGATTCCGCCGCCAAACCCCTAACAAAATTTAGCAGGCAACAATTTAAACAAATTCAATTCTCAGGGGGCGAGAAGGGGCCGAGTCAAAACTCATTTGCACTTTTGCCTGCTGTTGTCGAGAAGGCAAAAAGCACAAATAAGTAAAATATGAGCTAAAAATAAATAAAAAATATATATACAATTTTTCGCAAACGAAAATTCTTGAGCTTAAAATTTGCATTTGTTATTACTTCGTCGGTTTGCAGTTGCAATTGTTGAATATGCAACAATGCCCCAGAACAGAACCCCTAGTTCTGCCCCACGCTACGCCCCACCTCAAGCGCTATAACTCGGTTAGCAGATTTAATTCCAAGCCAGATCCTGATTGTATTACAATGTGGGCGGAATCACGCCCTTCCATTCAAAAGCGGGCGAGAGGGAGAGACCAGAAATATTCGTAGAACATTTTCATAAATCATAAAATTTTCCGCTCAGCAAATGAACTGCATTTGCCCCGGGGCTGCTGAGCTAGGGGAAGTGTTTTGTAAGATGCCAAATGTGTGAGGATTTGGGTTAAAATTAAAGTAAATGCAAAGATTTTTTAGAAAATAGCCAAGGAACTAAGGAGTTGGCTTTCCCAAAAGTCATTAATCATTTAAAGAATATTTTAATGTGATTTTTAAGGAGAAACTCTGATTTTCTGGCCATAGTTCGAGCTAGAAATACCCTCCCAAACACCTTTGATATTGTTTTAATTTGTTTAGTTTTAGTATAGATTGTTTAATAATTTATTTACCTTTCAACTTATAAAGTGCATTTTTTATTCGTTGATCGAAAAGTTGAACAAATTCCTGCAACAATATTTTCTGTGCAACCAAATTGGAAACTTTTGGTTTTTTGCCTTTTCGTAAAGTTTCTAATACCGAGCAAGTACCAAATGCCGCTCATTAGACTACAGCCACGCCCCCAGTTTTGGTCATAGCGCCCACTTAACCCACCAGTGACCCAGACTTTTAAACACCTCTGACAATATGTGCAGAAAGTTGATAACTGGAGAAATGTTATGGGGTCGACGAGAGTTTGGTCAGGAGCTGTGGCAAACTTTCTCCCCAAGATGAACTTACTTAGTGGATGGTGTGGGGATTGGTTAGTGGGTGGACTTAGCTGTGTCAAGGTCAGCGGGATGTCGAGCCGTAATCGCCGTGTTTAATTAGCTCAGTAAGCCCCACCTGGATGGGCATTATGTGGCTGTCGGAGTAAGATGCTCTGATTGAAAGTGTCGCGCGGCTTGCCACAAAAGCGACAACTAATTGCCACATAATCAACAACAGAAGCAGCGGCAGCAGCAGCAGCAGCAGCAACCACAAAAACAAGGGACAACTACAGCTGTAGGAGGATGGTGGTTGGGTGGTTTTTGTGTGGGTTTGGGTGGTGTCGCACAAGTGGGTGGGTGGATTTTGAACACTTGCGCTTTTTACCAACTCAATTTACGCTAATTACTGCCTTTCGCTCCAGCGATAACTGCTGTCAGCTGCCTTGCACCCCGCCATTTTCCCCGGATTTTCATCATTCCGATCCCGCTTTCCTTGCAAAGAGCGGAAAATCCCTCGGCCAGCTTCCCATCTGCCACGCATTTTCATACGCCATGCGAATTTATATTGTCATTAGCTCTTTTTGTCCCAACTCCAGAGTATTTTATTGAAATCCCTGCCTTCTGGCCACATTACCCAATTCGCCGTAAAGAAAAAACGGAAGAGATAATCTAAGAGCACTTCGAAGTAGTTCAGTGCATGCGCACTCTTTTTCGAAGTCTATAAAAATACTCTTTGGCACTGACCTAAGGCCGTCAGTCTTGCTTAAGATATTGTCTGAGGCAGACGGATGGTCGTGCTTTATAAAGAAAAAATACTACAAATTATGTTTTATATTTATGAAGAAATAAGAATGGGTTTACAAGGCTTAAGTATGTTAAAAAAAAGCCATTAAGTTTCCCAATATGTCTTTTTCATTATTCAAAACTTCTATCATATCGCAGTTTTTTTATACTTTTAAGTTAGTTTGGGGACTTTAAAGCTTGTATATAGTGTAAGCATTGTTGGAGTCTCCTATTAAAAGAGATAAATATGCCTTTGTTAGATCCCATTCCATTAACCCAAGTAATTCTGCCTTTTTAAACAAACATCTACCCCTCTTAATAAATGTTTTACGCCTTCCAAATGTTTATCTATGTCTGCCCACCTCTACCATAACCATAAACCGAATTATTGCCTTTCATTTCCATTTAATTTCCCTTGCTTTTAAGAACTCGAATCACTGCTTGTATCTTGAGTTCCCACCATAAAAATCAACTTAACCCCTTAAAAACAGGATCGTAAAACAAGCTTTCATTTGGCCTGGGCACATAATTCGTCGTCATTAAGCTATAACCCCCTGTTGCCACTACCAAAATAATTGCAAATTTCCAAAACTATTTGAAACATTTTATTGTTCGACCTTCAAAGAGCACTTAGTGCGGAAACTAAGAGAGCAAAGCTATAAAAAAGAGAGCGAAGTGCGGCGAATTCAGCAGGAGAATTCCCGACTTTTTCCGACCCGAAGACAACGAGGCCGAATCACCACTGATAAAGCTTCGTGTCTGCTCGGAAAATCCCCCGGAGTCCCAGAAAAAAAAAAACATAAAAATGCTCCATTGCTGGCCAGAAATCAGTTTCAGTTTCTGTTTCAGTTTCAGCGCGACATCGACGGTGAACGAAAGGCGAAGGCGCGGAAAAGCGCGTGAAAAAATCTAAAGGAAAAGTTGATGGAAATGTGAGGCACCGAATACGTGAGGCGCGACATTTTCCGGACCAGCGTGTGTGTGGCGGTGTGTTTTTGTGACTCGAGGCCAAAGTGTGTGAGTGCAAACGGATAAGAAAAGCGGGCACAATTGGGTCGTAAATTTTGGAAAACGTGTGAAAACGCAGGAAAAGCCTCATTGCCCCATTGCCGGCAGTCGAAAATTGAATGACCTTTTGTCGCATTCTTTGTGTTGTTCCAGTTACTGTTACTGCTGTTGCTCCTATTGCCTTTGTTGTTAAGTTAAAATGCCTTCGGCACGCGAATATTTTACGACATCGTTTCCCAAATAAAAAAAAAATTATATACAAAAAAAAAAACCAAAAACAAAAAACAAAAAGTAATAAGAAATCTAACGAATTTCGGTGCGTGCTAGCTGCTTGTCAGCTGTGGCCAAAATAAAAGCAGGAGAAGAAAATCCGACTGCGGACAAACAAATTATAAAAGTGTTAAACGCCCACACAACGACCTCCAGCCCCGCCCCCTTTGCCGTCTCATTAGCATGCAGCAAATTAAGTTGTTTTATATTTAGACTGTTGAGGGGACAGCCCCTAAGCACAAATTAACAAATTAAAACAGAACAAAAACTATCTTTGATCTGCGTCAAAACAGAAATCGCTGCCACAAATATCGAGCGTTAATACACTTTTTTGTGTAATCCAATATTTTCGGGAGACCCGAGCCAAGGAAGCACTAAAAGAATGTGACAAAAATTAATAGAAAACACATAAAATATTAACGGAAAACAAGTGTGAAGCGGCAGGGAAATTTACGACAGACTGATCACAGTGCGTATGCGCAATGTGCGTTGTTTGCGAGAAGAAGAAGGCGAAGCATATATTGTATTGGTATGATAAGAAGATGTTGTGGCTGGTAGCTGCTTGCTGCTGGGGAAAAATTCAGTTGCCTTGGCACAAAACTTTCGCCTATCTCAACTGCAGTTGTTGATGGAAAAGTTTTGTCAAGTGTCAAGTACTTTGGCTTTCGCAGAGTTTTATTTTTTCCGGGACTATTGTTTTCGGTGGCATCAACTTTTAAGGCCATCGGCTTATGTGAAATCCCGACTGCCATACCCAAAACACAATTAAATTGTTTCCTTTCTTTGTTCTCGCACATAATGCCATGTTGCCAATAAAACGAGAAAACCTTCCTCAATAAAATATTCATACAGCAGGAATTAACCGACACACAATGGGGCAGAAACAAAAGCAAAGCTTGCCCTTGGGTAAAAGGAAATGTCCGGAGGGAGAGAGGGGGTGGCAAATTAAACCCAACCCGGAACTAAACTTGCCTCCTAATCACAGTTACTAAGCATTAGAGCAGACACTGCCCCCAAGCTGAGAAGCAAAATGCAGACGTTTACGATTAGAAAGACAGAGGCAGAGATAGAGGGAGACACAGAGGAGATACTTTGAAAGAGAAGGACATAGTTGGCCGGGAAAGAGATGGCGATAGCAATTGAGTGCGTTAACACTTTTGAGAGACATTGCTGACGTTGGCAGGAGTCTCAGACTCCGTCTCTGAGTCCTGAATCCTGAGTCCTTGCCTCGGGGCTTGTCCTCCTGATTCCTGCATTCCCAAACACCCTGACCCCCTCTAATTCCATTACGGAAGCAACAGTGACAAGTGGCCAAGGATTCCAGGCAGGATTCCCAACAGGAGCAGGAGTGCTGGCGAGTGGAACAACATGTCACCAGCAGCCACTTCTGATTGAAGTCACACAGAGAGGATCCTGCAGAGAAGAAAATTGGAGTTGGCAAACAAAGGATATTAGTAAATAGTTCTGAAAGGCAATGCCCTTTTGCATAGCTACACTATAAATCATATTACTAGTTAGTATAAGTTGCTTTCTTAGTTAAAATGTATCAAATTCTGCATCAAACTTACCACCCAATTTCTCTCACTGCTCAACGAATCAGTCCTGCAGTTGAACTCGGACCTTAATCCCTTCCCCTTTCTCATTAGTCTGTCTGTCTCTCTCGCCCCAGCGAAGTTTGCAATTAATTAAGTTTTAATTAATTTCACACAGGGAGAAGGGGAGCAAAAAAATTTCGAAAGAAAAACACATACTCACACATTCACACACCGTTTTTCCAGCAGCGTGTGAAAAAGGCAATTCCCTAGCAAATGTTTAACAAATTAGATGTGAGGGAAATGCCCAAGTAGCAGGAAAGTTTTTCCCCAGGGCTAGGCAATTGATTGATGCCAAAGTAAATGAATGGCAGCAGGTCTGAAAATAGCCGCAGGCGGATATATGTGGAAAATAGGTGTGACTGCTTTGAACAGTTTTCCACAAAACTCCTCATAATTTCCTAGTTTCCTGGTCTGGGAAGAAGATTTATTTTCGGATACCCGGACACATGCCACCGAAGTTTCTGGGCCATGAAATATACAAGAGCAGCTGACCAGAGACAATAACCAAACTTTTGTCAATAACTGATTCTGATTCATGCATTAACCATAATTAATTGTATGATGTGAGCTGGGCTTTCGAAAGGGAAATTGGGTTTGGGCGTTGTCCGATGGCCATGCCCTTTTAATTTGTACTGTAAACTTTTGAGTTTTCAAGGAGAGGGAAAAGTTTTCCCTTTTCAGATTTTGTAAGTCCTTCTATGATTACATTTTCCGAAAATTCTTTTAGTGGAGAGTTAGTTTCTTAAGCTCTTTTCCCAAAATTGCTGTTTTTCCAATCTTTAGTTAACAATATTTTCCATGTCATGTACTCTATCAAAATCTGCCTTATCAGCCCCGACATCAACACAAATTTAATCAATTTATGTTTGAAAGGAGCAAAAAATAAGTAAAACAGGACAAATAAAATTCCTTTTAAAGCTCTTTAGCCCCCAGACGAAAATCAATTCTTTTTTGGGAACGTTCCAGCCGGAAAGAAAATAAAAAAAGTCATCCATGGAAATGCGAAACGAGCTGGGAAACAAAAAATATTATTCCGGCCTAGGACGAGCCAAAAGAGCAAACACAACTGCAACTGCAAAAGCAGCAGCAGCAACAGCAATAGCAACAGCAACAGCAGTAGCATCAACAAGGACGAACAACAACAAGGACAATGCTGAAAAAGTTCAACAAACGAACGTTAAAGGATTAAATTGTCTGCCATTGATATTAAGTGTTTTAAATGTCATTGCAAGTGTTTAATTCACGCGAAAGGAAAAGGGAGAATCAAAAACAGGCGCAGCTACAGAGAGAGAAATTTTGAGAAATATTTGAATGTGGAAAATGAGTTTGTTTGCTTTTTTTAACATTCTTTATAGCGGCATTAAATACACTTGAATGGAAACAATTTAGTTTTATATTAAGTTTCCCAAAAAGTAATTAAGATAAGAATCCCAAATTTCTCTCTCTGTAGAAAGACCTGATAGAAGAGAGACACGAAAAAAGTGCTGTGTGTGAATAAGGGGAATCAAAACAAAAATATATCTTCCCCAGAGATTGCCATAGATCAAAGCTCGCAAGGCAAACAAAGTGCGAATTGATAGGACACAAAGCAAACCTGATAAAGTGTTAGATAAAAAGTATCAAAAGCGGATTTCGAAGGAGAGTGAAGAAGAGAGTGTATAGCTGCAACACCAAAAAGAGACCACAAATCGAGTGGGTCATCGAAAAATGTTGACCCTGTGGACGGCACTTTTCTGCTGCCTGACGGGTAAGTCAAGTTCCCCACAGGATCCATCCTTCCTTCATTATATATACCACCATATAGCGCTTCCCATATTCCCTTAGCCTGCTTAAGCATGCATAAGATTATCAGCAATATATATATATATAGATATACAATATAGGCCCACCACCCTGCTCAAGGTTGTTATTGTTGCCGCCTCTCCGGGCGCTGAATCCTTTTAAAAACATTTGTGGTTCGGGCTGCGAAAATCCTGATTTATGTTTCTGCCTGCTGCGTTGTCCTTGCAGTCCTGTGCTGCTGTTCTGACATGGCCACTGCCAACCGCAGCAGGAGCAGTGAAAGCGATGGGTACACGTGGAGAAAAGTTATATACATAAATCAATATATATTTTACCAATTTTCAGAATAATTTGTGAAAACTTATAAACTTATTTAAAATTGGTCATCAAGTTTCTGTAATAATTCATTTAACTTCTTTAAGGGTTAAGAAGTTCTAACTGGGTATTATTTTTTGGCAGTGTAAAAACCGAGAGACCAACGTGGAGCCAAAGCAAACAAATGCGGTCGCTTGCTGGTCGCTTGGGGTCGTTTTTAAGGGCATATCGCATAACAGCAGCTCCGATGAGGAATGAGGGGTTAAAGGTTATGGAGTGCGGAGTAAGGAGTGCTGTGGTGGGTTAAGGGGTTCAGGGGTTAAGGGGTTGAGGTGCCCGGTGTCACTGCACTTTAAATTTTAAACGCGCTCCCAACACACACAAATTGCTTTCTACACATAATTATGCATAATTGAAAAGTGTAATTATGCCCGAGACTCTGACTTTATGAGCCGCAAACTGTGAGCTCAATCAGGCGAAAAGCAACAGTTGTGGGTGGGTGGGTTGTTTTTTAGGGAATGGTTGGGTGGTGCTGCTGGCACCGAGGCAGACGCACCACCAGGCTTCCATCCACTCAAGCGCAATGTTTATGAGTCGCAAGTACTTTTAATTGCGTGCCGCCTGCAAAGAGCAAAAGGGTAAGAAAACCTAAACGAGGAAAGCCAAGAAGTCCCTACTTTTCACTCATTTACTTTTCTTCCCTACCTATTAAAAGTGCTCCTGACATTAACAGACTTTTCCTAAGGTCTGGCTCTTCTGAAAATTAAATTGGAAGTATATTGAAATGATATAGTCGTTTATGAAGGATATCTGTGATATGAACTTTCCCTTCAATGCTTCACTCTGCAAAGTGTTGGAACGTTTTCAAGCTAACAAAGAGTTTAAGAAATATTACAAAAATATTTAGTCAACATATGACTCTATCTTATGAAAACCTTTCAAAATAAATTAAGTTTATAGTCCCAAAAATGCTTAACATGCATTGACAGGACCCAAAATTGTTTTCCGTAGATCCTTATGAATGCGTTTTCCCCTGGCATACATATATATTCACCGTTCGATGTTGGATTGTTGTGTAAGCAAAAAAGTTATCGATCCTAACACTACTCTACCTGTACATTCTACATCCATTTGGCTTTATTTCTTTGCCATCCTGGCTAGCAGGCAACTTTTCATTGTTTGTGTCCTTTGTTTGGGCTTTTGCTCCTGCCAGTTTGGCCATGTGTTTTTATTGCATTAATTTTTATGGTCGCTTGCTTTTGCTTTTGTTGTTCTTTGTTTGTTTTTGTTATTGTTATTGCTGTTGTTTTTGTTTTTGGGGAGTATTTTGTTGTTGTTGCTGTTGCTGTCAGCGTTACCGTCGACTGCTCTTGCTTTACTTAACTGCGTATGCCCCAAAGTAATAAAGCGAATTGGTTTTCTTCAAATAATTTCCATTTTAAATCCAGTTGGCAAATCCCCGCCCACTTTCGCTGGATTGCTGGTCTTTTTTGTTTCACTTCCTTTTTTGTATTTTGTATTTTTGGATTACTTTTCCGCATTTTGTTGTTGTTAAGGAAAGTGGCTTCTTTTACCCGCATAAGATTCTTGCGAAAGTTTCGCCGAGATTTGTTGTCGTATGCCAAAAAGTGGCAAGTGGCATCGTCAATTGTTTCTCTTTCGCTGATCCCTATATATATATGTATATATATAGATACTACTTGAATATTCCTCCTTGCCCGAATTTCTTGTACTGTCAGTTGTCAAAGGAGGCCTCAAAATTTAATTGAAATTTAGTGTAAACACAATGACAGGCAGTCGATTATCCTGCTGCGGCGGCTCCAACAGCGGCTGCTCCAATTCCTTTTCCTTTTCCTGTTCAACTCGCTTACAGACAAAATGCACAACATGTAAAGATATACCATGTACTGGAAAAAATGTTGCATAATATATAAAGTTGCATATAAATTTTATTTTGCCTTTAAAAGAAACCATCATTTTGTCTTAAATTTTATGTAATTTTTAAGTTTCTTTCCATATTTCATAAATTGTATTCCTTTTCTTTTCTCTTTAACAAATTACTTAAGGTGGCTTAGTATAAATTGTATGCCATTTTATTAACACCCACAGAACACCTTTTAATTTGGCAACACTTTTTTCTTTCTGTATTTTTCGCTATATTTTCCGGGAAAATCCTTTGGCGCGCAAATCCTGTCAACTTCGGCTTGACTTTCCAATTTGCCATCGTTCGCCCCTTGTATGTGTCAAAAAACTTGGAATCGACCCCGGGCTGGTGCCCTCCCCCCCTCTCTGACCCCCGCAGAACATAACATTTCACACGTGTCACTGAGCAGTGAGTTGTTGGCTGTCAAGATGCCACAGCCCCTCGATCCGCGCGTTCATCCTGCGAGTCCTGCAAAACTCCGACTGGAATCTAACCCGCTGCCAGGACAACCACCAACAGAAATAGGGGGGCAAAAACTGTATCGGGTCTGTATTAACACAGTCACTCACAGGCCACACCTCCAAACCGCCTGCTTTTCCGATTTTCCCCTTTTTCTTACCTACCTCCCGCCACCCCCTCAAATTGTTTGCCTATTTGCTTTGTGCATATGGAAATGAAATGGCAAACAAGAATGAGAACTGAAGTGGAGCAAAGAAAGTCAGGGAAAAATTACGTTGACACAGGCAAACGCTCACACACACACACACGTGCGGGAAAAGAAAGGACCTACTCATATAGTCAAACGAGGTTGAGAATTGGCCAAGTCAGACTTTTCCCTCCCCTAAGCCCCTATATTTCCCGCCAAGTTACAGCAACAGCTTAATGCAATTATTTACTGTTTCTTTTTCAAGTCACTTCACTGGAAATGTGATTTTAAAATATGATTTGAAAGTAAAGGCTTTTGAAAAGGAAAAACATGCTGTTAAATTATGCAAGAACTTTGTATTAGCAAGTGCGTTTAAAATTTATTTTATATTATTTAACACAATTTTCTATTCTATTCTTTCCGATCGCGTCGCGTCGTTTTGGCTCCGTTTGAGTTCGTCTTCACTTCGGCAGAACTCCTCGAATACTCTCCTTCGTTCCTTGTGCCCTCTTTGCTTCTCTCGTCGTTTTCTACTTCTTTCGCTGAACTTCTCATCTTCGTCTTAATCTTCTCCGTCTTTTTTTTACTTCTTTCGCCTGGTGGACACTCGTCGTCGCTTTAATCTTCTCCGTCCTCTTTTTACTTCTTTCGTCAGACGGTCACTCGTTGTTAGCTTTTATCGACATCGTGTCGATCTCGGTACTTCGTTGTATGATTCTGGAGAGAATATTATACTAACCACTTCCATGAACATCATGTTAATATTATGCAAAACTCACCTGCTTTCAATTGTGATTTCACAAATTGAAATACCATAAAATTATATAATTAAATTAAAATCCGAAATCAAAAACAGTTTCAGTTATCTTTGAGATACATTTGCATAACACATTTCATTTTACAAATACATTCAATAACTTTGGGCTTAGGAAACCAAAGTATGCCGGGCATATTTCAAACTCCGCAGCACAAATAGTTTGGTTTGCCGAATTTAATCGAACAATTAAATGTCATAACGGCATTAAGGCGATTATAAATCAATGAAATGCTAAATAAAATGGGATTTGGGAGAGTAAAGTACTCAATTAGAGCTATGGCTACCGAATAGTTAGGTTAATTAAAACGGAAGCTTTGTTCAATTAAATTTTAACACTTGCCAAAGCAATTCAATTACTTGAGGCCATGTAAGAAGCTCAGGAAATAAACAACAATTACAGCTGTTTGGCAGATTAAAGAAGCAACTTCCAGAAGGATCATAATCGGTTTGATTAACGATATGCCATAGCTCAACCATGATACTGGAAACTCTTTTCTCACGCTCTTGTTTAACCCTTTTTCTTACCAATTGCCACCCAAAGCGTTGATTGCCCCTTTTAACCCTTTTTTAAATGGGCAAGAGCGCGCTTCAGAAAACTTCAAAAATTCCAGAGCTCCTCGTGTTTCGCCTTTTTGGGTTGGCAGTTCATTTGAATTGTTTTCTTTCTTTTTTTTTGGCTACCATTTGTATCCCTTGTAATGGGGTTGCCTATTTTCAATTCTACACCCCCTGTTCATTTCTTTATTTTGCTTATCAGAGGGGGGTTACAAAGGGGTAGTGGCAACAAAAAGCTGAGAAAAATAAAAGCGAATAGGAGCATGAACAAATTGTTTACGGATGTGTTTGCGACCCGCTCCTCTGGCAACCCTCCCCCTCCCAGAAAATAACAACCAAAACATAGAAAAAGGAAAAAAGCAAACCCGAAACCAAAACCGAGAAAGGATGTTGCAGAAATTCATAACAAACTACATTTCATGGCTTTGTGTCTGTGTGCTGAGGAAATTCACTTGACTTTTGGCCACCGTACTTTTTTCTTACCGTTTTTTGTGCTATTTTTTCTTGGCTTCTTCGGCATAAATAAGCTCTGGGCCAGGCCAAATCGGACTGCTGCAGTTGTCGCCATTCTGGGCCAAACAATGGCCAATAGGTAACACACACACACACACACACACTTCCAAGGGTATTTGCCATGGCACTTATTTATGGCTATTTGTCGGCGGAGTTGGCCAGGACTTTCATGGCATCTTTATGGGCCCTTACTAT